CTGTTGACAAATCGTTGCTAACTATCTCCCCCAATTAATAGTGCTTTTCAGGGCCACTGGAACATAACATGGTTAACTGATCCCAACTACTTTGAACGGTGGAGTCAAACTGAAAGCCAAAATGCAGCCGTGGGCAGCTGTTTCAATCTGGTTTATAGGTCTCGTCAACACCACGTAGCAACAAAAAAAAATCTGGAACAAGTCTACTAAAATGCACCTGGTATTTATGGATTAGATTGTCATTTACGACCTCAGATCAAACTCAGTTAACGTCACATGCCCAACGCGTGACTGGGAACAACAACAGGCAAAGATAAGAAAGTTCAGGACAGACAAACAGGAAGGAATATCCTAAGACTCGAGATGTACAACAAAGTACAGAAAATCACCAGCCACCTGACTGTCACGTAAGCATCTTTAAAAGTCCGTAGAGGCCTGTGGTAGTTCCCGCTAAACTAGAATCTCGCGCTTTTTTCTCAAAGCTGCAACACACCCCAATTTTCCCCCATATATGGCCATGATTTCCATAGAGAGAGGCTTGTGAACAAAAGACTCGCCACATAAGGAAATCAAAACAAGTCTTTCCAGTCATGCTGCTTTACAACTGAAAGTGTTGGTTTACAACTGCATAACAGGAAAGTACGATCAATTTATACTGCGACACTGAATAGGATAAGTCTAGTAACCAAGAATATTCACTTTTGTGAACTCAACATGGTTGATAGTGTTTACCGCACTCGTTCGCTAGGAATTGGTGTTTCTGGTATTCCCGATCAGTACGCCGATGGCAAAGCAGCGAGAGTTTGGCAACACTACATTGGCGGACACAAGAAAAGAACGGACTCGTACAGAGAATTCTTTTGTAACCTCTTAAGAGAAAACGACGTCAAACATATCCTGGATGTCGCTTGTGGCACAGGGTAAGAAAGCGGCTCGAACATCGTTGCTAAGAACGTAACCCTCATTCATGAGTTTTTACAGTTATCACACTAAAAATCGACACGGAAGATTAAATGTAAGTAAACAAATGGACGTTGTTTCGGTATTTCTATAGTCTTGCCTGAACTTTTAGATTGCTATGAAAATGATCATTCATTCTTTTTCCGATCAGTATGCGACGGGTGATCGATGTACTTGCAAAACCTTTTCAAGTCTAAAGTCTTACTTGTTTGTACACGTGTCGTCTCTAAAACTCGTGGAGGTCAGATGCAAAATTCGTTTGTGCTCGTCTCGTCACTCTTGTTGTTAAGCCGGTTCGACTTGATTGACGGCATGTTACTTCTGGGTTCGACGTCGTGCGGACGTGATCGAACCAAATTTTTTGTTTTGAAGTTTGTTTTGATAGGTTTGGATCTAATATAAAGTACTGGATGCCATCGATCACTGCTCGTTTCGCCCGAATACTGCAGATCATGTAGAAAGCAGTTTTTGTTTTATGCAACTTATTTTCTCAGAAACCAAATTTACTGACCTTCTACTTTGTCCTAGTTGCAGTAGTTAAGCTGAAATGAAATTTAACATGTATACCCTCTCAGCCTCATGTTCAAAACGTTAATTCTCACAACTGATAGCCATACAGTTCATTAATAGCAGTTCTGAGAATTTATTGTACATCAAGTCAATAGGGCCATTTATACGAGAAAAATAAGCTGCAGATTACACAAGCTGTGGCTTACATAGGATGCAAACTGGACCATTTATATGAGCGCTTGTATTAATGGTTCACAGCCTATTTGTGACTAATGCCTCACTTTTGTGTAGGTTGTCATGGCAATCGTGAATTGCGTGAGCTGCTGCATGAGCTTGGGAAAAACTTGCGCATGCCTGGTGTGAGTTCACCTCTTACATAAGCAGCAAACAAGCCATGACACTATTTATATGAGTGGTTTTGTGTCTTAGATAAGCCGTGGCTTGTTTAAGCGGAGCTCAAAACCCTGGTCTTACACAAGCCACAGCTTGTGTTATCTGTGGCTTGCGTAAGACGTAAACTGGTTAAAATGTACTGTTTATACGGTAAGTTCGCATTTTATGTAAGCCGCGGTGGTTTGTGTAAGCCGTGGCTTATTTTCCTTGTATAAATGGCCCTAATATCAGATTATTTTTTAATTCTCACCTCCTGTCTGCTTGATAGACTACCTGTAATGCAAAATGACATTTTCATCACTGCTGGGAATTAAAGGGTTAAAGCTTGAATTCTGTTGTAGTCGACATTGTAGTCAGAGTTCATGTAAAATTACCGTTTCCCAATCTGTTTTGTAGTTTTGATTTGTTTGACATCTATTTTGGTTGGTGTTGATGTTTATTTACAGATAAGACACGTCACACAAACATGAGTTCCAAGATTCTAAAATTTCATGGAACTGCCAGATGCATGCAGTTGTGATTTTGTTGGTAGTAGGTTGAACTTCCTTCACCTTTCAAGCCTTGGGGCTTGATAAAAAAGGAAGGTTACAAGAATCTTACCAAGGTAACTTTGATTTACAGTCTTGTTCATTCATAAGGAAATTCCTGGGTTTGAGGGTTATTCCATGAGGGCTGAATTTTATTATTATACCTGGCAGTCTTCAAAGCATAATTATATTTTGCAGCACTTGATGAAATTGTTGGTCATATGCCTAGAATGCATAATTTTGGAATCAGTGTGGTCAGTTAGGTTGTACATCCAGACCAAACATACCCAGCACCAATCGTGCAGCACAGATGCCCATAAAAGTAGGCATTTTGTGAAGTACTATACTTTTCTAAAGGGTTCAATTTTGTTTTGTTAAATAAGCACCACTATTTATGAAAAAAGGGTTAATTTTTAGTTATGATGATTGTTTAATTTCAGAGTGGATTCCATCATGCTACTTGAAAACAACTTTAAGGTGACAAGCACAGATGCTAGTGATAAAATGTTAAAACAGGCATGGAAAATACGCTGGCAGCGTCGTAAGGAGGAAGCCTTTGATGATTGGGGTAGGTAATAAAAGGTTTAAATGCAGTGAACTATAATACACAAAATGGTTACAGTGGCAAAAAATATTATCATAGTAAATAGTTTGAACCAAGGAGTATCAGTAGATCATCTTGTGTGATCGGGTGAAGGTAGTTCTGAGAAGAACTGTTGTTGGTGACAACCCGAGTGGTAGTCATCTTGAGAAAAATGCGAGTCAGTCGATGATGTTACAAGTCTGGTCCGTTGAAAGTGATTGGTCAGTTTAACAAGGATGGTATTGGCTGAAAGACTTGTGTAAATTTTCTCAGCAGTCGTTGGCTGGCTCTAGTAAGTTTCAAACTATTTTTTATTAGTCAAATTAAGTTGCTTTGTATGAGGTTTGTGTATTGTTAGTCAAATTGAGGTGCATTTATTGTCTAATTTATGTCCTGAATACGTCATTTGAAAGGTGTTGGTAGTATTAGTGTCAGTAGTATTCAGGACATAAAAACTGACAAAGGGACCTCAAACAGACTGATGATCACACAAGACAATCTACCAAAAATATTATCAATGTTGAATTAATAATGCACGTCAACTCCAGACTGCCACTCTGTGGTACACACATAATAGGGGGATTAAGTCTTCAACTCTCAGGCCCAAAAATGTCAAATGCATTCCTTTTACTGTTGATTGTCAATACAAAGTATCAATGTCATTTGTTTATTGTAACAGTTGCTTGTTTTTCTCTTAACAGTAATTGAAGAGGGTAACTGGCTGGCATTGCATGATGCTGCTATTGACGTCCCTCCACAGGGTTTTGATGCAGTCATCTGTCTTGGCAATTCTTTTGCTCATTTGCCTGATTTCCAGGGAGACCTATCCAACCAGAAGCTGGCAATTCAGAACTTTAAAGAAATGCTGAAGCCTGGCGGGGTCCTGTTTATTGATCATCGCAATTATGATGCCATTCTTGATAGTGGCAAGGCCCCACAGCGCAATTTGTATTACAATGTAAGTTTTTCCTGACTTTAACTTTTATAATAATACACTTGCAAAATTACTTGATTCTGACTGGCTAAACAGGAGTGCATTTTCCATGTAAAACCTGTGCAAATTTGAAATACGAGTGCAAATTTGAAACACCACTGCAAATTTGAAACACCACTGCAAATTACAACAAAGATAAGTTAGTTTGGAGACACTTATGACTACCAATGGTAATCCAAGTTATTTTGAAGGTGGACAAAGTTCACCTAACGCCTTCCAAAGATAGTGAAGGTAATAGGATAGTTTCAGAGCACTTCCAAAGATCAGCGAATAAAAACCTGAACCCTTCCGAAGATTACCAAAGTTTTTCGGTGATTGCTGAAGATCACCCGAAGCTTGCTGAAGGCTTTCAAACATTTCTGGAAATTAATTTTTTCAAATACTTTCAGAAATGTATTGGAATACCAAACATTCTAGATCTGCAGCCTACATATTCCAGTGTACATGTAATCATATGATTAGTCTGGTGCAATTTTGGAATAAACAAGAAATTGCACTCACCCTATGGGCTCGTGCAAGTTTGTGAGCCTTTGAAAAATTTACTGGTGCTTATTTATCCCAAATTGCATTTGAAATCATGTGATTACCTATACTAATTTTATCCTAATTGTAGCGATGTTCTTTGTCTTGAACGCTGGAATTAATGCATACAGGCTTTACAGCTGTTCAAAAAGGTTGTCCTACAAGACATGATTTTGACTAAACTGTTCTCCCTGTTAGAGTGATTGTATAGAAAGCATCAAGACCTCAGTGCTGTACGTGGATGGTAAAGAAAGCATGATAACACTGGACTACACAGTGGACCCATCCAAGGCTTCAGATGATTTCACAGAAGAGGGAGAAGAGCCAGCGGCAAAAAAGAGGAAGTCATCTGAAAGCTCAGATGTCAGGTAGAACTTAACATGAGTGTATCCCTCTCTACAAATAGCCATAGTGTGTCTTGTGCTGTGCAAAGTTGTTACTTGTATACATTGTTTACAGCGGTCTTATTTAACATTGTTGGCCATCTGTGGGCATTCTTCCTTCACGAGTTTGACACCACACATGATTGTGTTATCTCTTGCTAAAAAGTAATTTCAACACCCTGACAGGGTAAAGTAAAAGATAGAATCATGGGGGACCAAGTACTTTTCTTGCAAACATCCTGTACATGCAAACAGACGCTTCAACATTTTCATATGAATAGACCACATTCATATTCTTGGTATCAGACTGGGAACCAGTTTGCAACTGAGGCTATTTCAAATGCAAATGATATTCATCTTGTTCTGATGCTAATTATTCCCTGCACAAGCCTCCATTGCAAGCTACAATCCTGGTCACAAGTGTTGGGACAGTTTTATGGCAGATGACTTCACAGGCAGCCTCTCTTTAGACCAAGACTGCGTAAGCCTGCCTACCCCCCTCCCCCTGTCAAAATTGCTCAGGGGAGGGGGTCAATTATGCTTCTATTCATTTTTCCCTAAAACGTCAAGGACGTAGTTAAAATCGTGGGTTTCTGCGTACAAAAGGGGAGGTGTCCCGACAATTATTTTATGACCAGGGCTGTAGTTCCAGCCCAATACCAAGTATAGGAATCAAAATGGCCTATAGAGTCCTAACATGTGACGTCACAATAAAATAAATTTGCGAAATTATGGGATTTGGCGCCATTTCCGAATAGAGCATCCTTAAAAAAGGGTCTTTGCCAAAAATTACCTCTTAATTGTAATTCCCAGCCGAAATATAAAGGATGAAAATTTGGTACTGCCCCGTATAAATCTAATTTTGAGTCAGTTCTAAACTGAAGAACTGACACAAATTTTGAAGGGTTTGTATGGGATGCTATCAAACTTTGATCCCTTATATCTCTATAGGGAATTGCAATTCAGAGCTAATTTTTGGGATGAGGGCATCTTTTAGGATCCTCTATAGGAATATGACATCATATCCCATAATTTCAAAATTTTTATTTTTGTGACATCACTTTAGGACTCTATTGCACACCATTACAAGCTTGTGGCACTTGTTTCTCTCATATACTTTCTAAGTGAAAAAACCTTTCAGTTTCATTTGATCTCTCTACCATACATCAACATTAATTGAATTTCGGTTTGTTTTGTTCCACTTGTAGCAAGTTTCGTCTGTCATACTGTCCTTTACGCCTCAGCACCTTTAGTAACCTCCTCAAGGGCATTTTTGGCGAAGATGCAAGACATCAAGTGTTTGGTGACTTTGAACCTCTTGGGCAGGTTGAGCTACCAGCATATTATGTTCACATGATTTGGAAACCAACCAATGAGAATACAAATGGTTTGGAAGAAGAGTGAAGCATCATCCTTTCAATTCCAAGCTTAGAATGCTAATTCTCCCCTTCATATGTACAGTACATTTGTTTTGTAGAGGTTCTTTTAGAAACATAACACACTGTCAAAATAATAGACATAAGTTGAGCCTTTTTTTAAATTTGGTTGTTATTCAATGTAGTTTCTATGATTTTATCTTTTGAAGACGTCTTAGAAACTGAGTATCATAAAAGTTTGTTTTTGCCACCAATTGGAATTATTTCTAGACCTTTTAAGGGTTTTTTGTCAGGGATGGGGTAGGGTATCTAGAGATAAAAACAAATAAGTAATAATAAAAGACTGTAGTGGGAAAATCACTCTTCAGCAACTCCCTAAATATAACTAGTCTTGGCTAAACAGCTTGGGAAGGGCCAGGTAGGATTGGGGGGGGGGGGGGGGGGGGGGGGGGGGGGGGGGGGGNAGGCTTATTGTGAAAATTAACCCTTTGAATACCAAACTTTTGCCAAAAAATACCGTTTTTAACCATTTAGTCAGGTTTTTTAGCTGCCATGACTCTAAATAAGCCTAAGTTTTGCTAAGTTTTGCTTTTTTTTACTAAAAGGAGAGATTTTTCGAGGATTAGGTACAAAATTTAGCAAAATTTCAATTCCGGGCATGCGTATAAGCCAATATTTGTTTTTTGTTTGTTTGCTTGTTTTTTTTTTGCCATTAACTGTTCTCTGTTTTTCTCGGCCCTTTTACACTGGCTACCTTTTGCATTGTATGTTCTTTCTGGCTGCCATGAAAAGTTGGATGTTGATTGTGGGCGAAGCCTAGAAATGGACCTTGATCAATCATAGGCGTAGTGGACCATTTTACCACCGTTTTTGCACCAACACTGATAACGTCGTTTTTCGATTTGCAACGTCGGAATGTTGTCGATATCTAAACCTGACCATTATGCGGAAAGGCCTAGCCTAGTACTATTATCTGCTTATCAAGAATATCTGATGACATTTAAATTGATGACATCACACGTGGTACAAAGAGCACGACCATCAATTACGCATATAATTTATGCGTAGTTGGTGTTCAAAGGGTTAAAGCATTGGGGGGTGGGGTTGGGACTTATGAGAGCTTTTATGGTGAGTTACTCTTGCATGTAGGTACAACTTATTTACCCATGTGAATAACAGCTGTCAAGGTACACAACTGTACTCTTTTTAACCATCCCTCAGAAAAATGTGAATAATACTTGTACAAAGTGTGTAATAAAGTAAAGGTGACCAAAATAATTGAATAATTGGTGTAATAAGTGTTGCCTTTAAATCTTAAATGATTTGTTCAGTTCTTGTGTACACTTCCCTAAGTAGTGAGAATGTAGCCTCTAACAATGAAGGGATAACTCAAAATAAGCATTGAGCCATAACCTTCCTGGATTCAACCACGTTAAATTTTGTCTATTAGGAACTCAGTATGCCTTCATTTTTTTTTTGTTGCGATCTGTTGCACTGTCACGTTTTCATACCTCATTTTGAGACTTGTACAGTGCAAAATAACTGTTGCATGCCGTAAAATCCCATTTTAAAGTCCACTTCCCCCCCCCCCCTCCCCCTTTCCGGTCATAAGCCACCCTGGATATAAGCACTTCTATTTGCTCACAAAGGTATCATAAGCCCCACCCCCCGCCCCACCCCGATAAAAGCCCATCCAATGTATAAGTGCGTTGCTTTTTCATTTCTTTACAAACATCAAAATTTTCAATCAAAAGCTATAGTTTTTTTACTTTCGTTCTGTCCTGTTCCAGTTGTTCCGGTCACATTAGTGGTTTATAGATGTTTCTTAAATAAAATAATTCTGTTTGTTGTGATGTGCAATAAATGTATTATAAATGTAATACCCTTCCTTGGTGCTGTGCCTTGTCGTGGCAGGGAGGCTTTTGTGCCCTTATGATCCTCAGAGCTGTATCGGCGGGAGCTTTGTGCTCTTGGTAGGTCTAACCATGCCAGGTAGGTCTGTAGGTGAGGGGTCAGACAAAACGGCATTCTGGCCCTCCAGGTTGGGGGTTGGGCGTGGGGTCAGCAACCCTACCTCATTAAAAAAAATTGCACTGCTACAGAAACGCTAGGACGCATACTAAGAGACACTACGGCCTGGGGAGTTGATGGACCTCTAGCACGAAGGCCAATGACGCCTGGCAGTGAAAGCCAGGTCCACCTGGAAGCTTCCAGGCCGACAACCATCATCTCCCCCAGGACCACCACTATCATCGGAACGTAGAACGTTCGAACAATGTAAGAAACTCGTGGCGCCGTGACCTAGAGGCAGACCTGAAGAGAAATGGCTACACGTGGGGAGAACTACAACGACTGGCCCATGAGCGTGGTATGACTGGAGGGTGCTTATTGGTGGCCTTTACCCCAGACGGGGTTACAGGCAATGATGACAAATGTAATACAGTGTGACCTCTATTAAGCGGCCACCCTCTGTTAACCCTTTGAATACCAAACTTTCGCTAAAAAATAGTTTTTAACCGTTTAGTCAGGTTTTTTGGCTGCCGTGACGCTAAATAAGCCTAAGTTTTGCTAAAGAAAGATTTTTTTTAAACCAAAGACAGCCGAAGATAGCAACTCTTTGGGCTCCAGTCCCTTTCTGTCAAAAACCAAACATCCCCATTTGCAACCTCTAAAGTGAGACAAAGGGTCCTACTTGGAACAGACATAGTTCCCATATTATCTTAACTCCCATCATTAGATTGGGTGGGGTAGATGGTTCTTTGTTTTATAAGACAAAAACCGGGAATTTCAGTTTTTATCAAGACAGCAACAGCACTAAGGGTGTCATTTTGTTTCTTTTGTGATGCACATTTGTGGTGCCAAGTTTCAAGAACACTGCTTCAATATTTCCAGAGATGTCGTTTATTCAGTATTTCACCACTTTTTAGTTGAAAACAATATGACGTCATCACTGATCTAATTTGCATAAGAGAAAAACCTCAATATCTCTAAAAAGAAAAAAGATATCCCAAAAAGAAAAACGCCATTCTTCTCTATTTTGAAAGACCTTTCAAATAAGCAGATATTATTTTTCATGTCATATGTACTTTAAGCGGCAAACCTCTATTAAAGTAGCCACTTTCCACAGTCCTAAGAAAATGATTAAAGTAAAGTAAAAGTAAAGCTGAGGGTGGCCGCTTAATAGAGGTCGAACTGTGGCTCCAAATGTAGTGGTATGTTAGCTTTTATTTGTTTCTCAGATACGTTTCATCTCATCGTTCTGACATTTTTTTTATATTCCGTTTATATGCCCCCCCCCCTCCCCCCGATATAAGCACACCCAAAACCCCTTATGAACTTATAAAAGCCCAGGGCTTTAACATGGGATTTAATGGCATACATGTAACAATGACTAAATCCTAAGAATTGAAATATTTTGGCGAGAAACGATACTCTGAATGTTTTTATTACCATTTGTTAATCAAAATCATTTAACTATATTACAAGATAAATGTTATGGAATGTTTTACAGATCATGTACTGAATATAAAACTGCAGTTCATCAGCACGTCCCACTCCAACATTACAAACTACTGCCATACTCTGGAATCTTGCTACATTGTAGAATCAAACCAAGTGCTTCTTGGGAGTTGCACATCAGATATGCGGCAGTAACCTTGATGATGTAAAATCAAATGCTTGAAAGCATCTTTTAATACATGTAGGCTGTCTATTTACAAGGCCACATTAGTAGTCTACTGAGTGGCTGTTTGGTGTGGATGCCCATATGCCGCCCCATACTGCTGATACCACTGGCTATAATTACTGTATGCATTCTGAAACAAAAGGAAAATATTTTGTTTGAGTTCTCAAAAGAAAATCATCTGCCTTATTAACAATAAACCAAAAAGAAAGTCCAGCCTCCAGTCCCCAAAATAATGGCCTGTTATTCATTACATAGCTGTAACCCTTAATCACTGCAATGTAATCAATGCATCAAAGGTCACGGTTCTTTCTTATCACCATTACAGAGAAGCGTGGATGAACACTCTAGTACAGTGCAACAAACATCACTAAGTGCATTGAAATCATTGGAATTCACTGCACACAGAGCAAAAATGGAGCAGGAATTCACATCTAAAACTAGAATGTCTGTACATACACTTTAACTCTGTTCACCATCAGAACAAAATCTCTTGAAAACGGAACAGTACAGTTGCTATAGGCAACAGGGAACGAGCAAACAGTCACTGAACAGACATGTTCACTAGCAAGGTTGCCAGCTTCGACACCGGACAATCAGTGCAGGGAATAAAACCTTACCGGGTGTGCAGCAGAGTATGCTGCCCACTGGCTTTGCAAGGGAGTGGAGTAGCTATACGCAGAGGCGGCTGCAGTATAGGCAGCAGCTGTTGAATACGATGTGTCATATGCTTCAGCACCTGTCAATGTGGCACTAGTGACATGCTGGCTACTATCTGCAGCTGCCACTTCCTCACTTTTTGATATTTTGGATTTGACATCTGAGCTGCAGGAAAAAAAATGAGGCATAATGAATAAAGAGAACTCATGCAAACAGCTGTCAACAAAAAAGTGAATCCGTTAAGAGTCAACTAGGACTGTAGCAGATAGCAAATAATCCTTTCCAATGTATGTCAAGGAAGTAAAAAGTTGCACTGCATTTTTCTTGGCAACAGGGAACGAGTGAACAGTCACGGAGAAGACATATCCACTAGCTAAAGGTTGCCTTCCACTCCAGAACTTCCTGGTCAACTCTTAGAAAATTAGGACCAAGACTTATTAAGTTGCTCAGTTTCCTGTATTTGCTTGAAAAGGTGCCATGGTGCTTATTACATTTTTCAATGTTTTGATGTGACGCTAATTAGAGGTTGATGATTCATCAAGAGGGGCAATTTTTTTGGTAAAATCAAACAAAAACAAAATCTCAAAAGGGGACCTCTATCACTACTAACAAGATAAAGCCCTATGTTCTTGAAAGACTGTTATGTATTAACTTAACTGGCTAAACAAATAATAATTATTTATATCTAAATGTCAATAACTATTGAAGTCTTACCTATCAAGCTCTTGTGATCGTTTTCTACCACTTAGTGGGATTAGCGCAGATTTCCCTTTGTATAACTTAGAATGATTCTCCTGAGCCACCATTATTTTATTGATGTCCACACTGAAATCTTCAAGAAACTCAATTCTTCTTTGGGAGAATCCTTGTTTCACCTCGGTGTCCAGGTCACTGTTCTTAACCAAGTCAAACACCTCTTCAACTTTGTCTTCACTCACTGGACATGCACCAAGCTCTATGTCTAATAGCTGAAGGTACAGTCTCTTATTCTCCTGTGAAAAGACAAGGAAACATGCAAATTAGGCTGCTGGGGTTTGCTCTGATCTGTATCAACTACTATGATTATTAACAGTGCTTAACAATAGTACAGAATTCTACATGTATGTATTATAATGGTTGTTAAATCCATTCACAAAAATGTTCCAGAAATTCTGGTTGGGATGTACATGGAGCAGGAACTTTTCAGTTCAGTCCACTGGAAAAAAATTAATTTCAATGTCTGAGTGAAAAGGAACTCCTATTTTTTGGTTCAAATAGAAATTTTGTGTTCTATTTACTGTTTAACATTGCTTGTGCTGCGTGGATTCATGGCTCCTTCATACTGGCACTGATTTTCTTCTGGAGAAATTTCAAATGGAACACATTCTTCCCTAGCAGACATTCTCCACCAAAACTTCTGGAATTTTTTGTCAATGATAAACTTAAAACAACCAATTGACTTGGTATCAATTTACCTTATCTTTTTCCAGGGCTCCTTTCAACATCACCCGTGCTTTGTCCACATTACCCACAACCTGTTAATTTTAATAACACTTAATTTAATTGGGGGATAGAAAACAATTGGAACAGTAGGTACAGTAGACCTGTACACACAAACTCAATATTTCAAACAAGGGCTCTACAATGGTAGCTACCCAGCCCAACTGTTCCACAATTCTCGGACACTATCCCGTGTCAGCTCTTTGATCCTACCTTGGATAAGAATCTTGAGTATCGTATAGCAAAAAATGTCGCCAATTCCTGGTCACTGGTCTCATTCATAGCTTCTTCATACAGGGCAGAGGTACCTTCAAAGTTTCCTCTTCTTCTTTCAAGGTTTATTCTCTTCAGCTTAACCATTATTATGCCAGGCACTGCCTTGTCTAACTCTGCCAAAATCTCAGATGCCTTAGCAGCATTTCCTTTGAAAAAAGATAGTGTGACAATGAGCACACAAAGGGATAGTTACTCCCATAAACAAAACAGAAGAAAACAAGCAACAGTAGTCATCACACAGACACTACAATTCACCTTATAACTGATTTACCTGAGTTTAACTAGCGCTGTGCCAGGGACAACAGTACACCCAAGTAGTGAATTATTATATTACATTGTAGGATAAGCAATGGAACAGAGATTTCCATTTTAAAAACAAGACTTCCCCAAACATCATTTTATGATCATTGGGGACAAGTCAATACACTGCTACATGCAAATCTTCTGCTTGCATGCAATCACTGCCATATATGCATAACTACCTGCCTGCTATGTGTAACTGTAAGTGTACCACTGTAACTGCTGATTTTCATGTGATTTGTCAACTCTGCTAAGCTACCAAGTTTCTCTGTTTTTTTTTTTTGTTTTATTTTTCAACAGAATCGGCCTCTTTCCTTGGAAAAAAAAAACCTTCAAGTCATCTGCAAGATGTCAACTTACATTGCCTTCAATATTTATGACTTTTTTGGTTTTCTTCATTTTAATAATCACACATATGGTTGATTCTACAATAATATTCAATCACCTCGTTGTTCCTCAAATGCAGCCCAAGCTAAATGAATGGAGGGTTTTCGTGGAAGGTGTATTGTGCAGGCTCTCTCATATACATGACGACATGCCTCGACACTGTGCCCTTCCATGTATGTAGCAAATCTTTGCCAGAAGTCCTCGTACAATGCACATGCAATTACACATCGTTCAAAGAGGATAACAACCCTTTTCTGATCACCATTGCTTAATTCAAAGTCAAGATACTCTCTCCAATTTTTCAGCTGCACACGCTCAAGAGGTTTGACATGAAAATATGGCCTCTTTATGGCTTCCTCAAATGGCCATCTCTTTCGCACTTCTTCTTCCAAGGCAGTGTAGACTTTTTGCCTGGCTGATATGACTTTTTCGCGTATTGCAATAGTCTCAGCGTCATCCTGGAAAAGGAGCAATAACACAAAAATAAAATACAGGACTTCATGCAATTAAAACAAATTCCATTTCACAAGTGTATCTGACCACTAAAGAAACCCCTCACTCCCTAAGGAACAGGCCTTTGTTACTTCCAATTCTCTACCTTCCATATTGAACTTAAAAAATGTGTAATATCTGTTGCAAAATGAGGCTTTCACTAACAATGATTTTCAAACACCTCCACCAAGTGCTGGTTCTTTCATTGAAAAATGTCCTGCCTACCCCCTTGCACAGAAATTTGCTGTAATGAACATTGACCAAGAAACTGTACAAAATTTTGTGCACTTAATGGAAGGTACAAGAAGCAGATGATACAGAGATTGTTGACAAAGTTTTTACTAAGTTTTGTCAGCCAAGTCATCAAGATGCATAACTGGTCTAACAGTGTACAAAGTACTTGTCAGAGTTTGCACATTTTCAGCATAAACAATAAACAATTGTAGCTTCTATGCCATAATTTTCCCATCTATCCAAGCACAAAGACAAAGAGCTGCGTAGTTTGCCACATGATGGTAAAACTCCCTCACCCAGACTAATTACCTGAGAAGTAAGAGAACTTTCTGCCCCTGGAGCAACAAGGTTTTCTGTGCCTGGAGCCACTTCATCGGCATCTGCATCACCATCAACACCTGCACAAATAACAAACAAATAATCTACATGTTATTATATCATGGTTACCTCACCATAACATTTTAGGACACACACAGTGTAAACAAGCAAGAATGCCTGTGCCCATTGTTTGTATTCAACTGCAGAGGCAGAGCCTGAACTACTACTGGGGTACCATTCAGAAGCTGGCCCAAAAGAGACATAAGTGGAGGACCTTTGTTGCTGCCCTGCATGCCAGCAGGCATAAGGACAGTAAGACAGTTAAGTAGTTGAATATTCGTAGGCTTGTTCATGGGCTTATGCGTCCTGCCTTCACTGTAATGAATAGTACTACATGTACTTACAGTGTATATCCCAGTGAAAATGGAGCCTATACAGTGTCCCCTACATTGTACTGATAATGGTAAGTTTTCTCTTTGGAGAGTTTCACCGGGAGCACAGTCTGGGGGAGGAGAAAGAGTGGGGGAACAATCGAGAAAAAAAAAAAAAAAAAAAAAACATTGCCCAAGGAGCTCAGAGCAGTAATCCTTTTATACAACCTTGCCAAAACCTAAAAGCCTATTTTTGTTCCCCCTTTTTCTTTCCTTTTCTTTTCTACCTTTCTTGCATAAATCTACCAGGGTTCTCACAAATATTTGAAGTTAACGGAGAATTTTGAGTGGTACACACTTTAACAAGTTAACGCTCTAATCTATTGCTGATGTTTACGTACATATTTACCTGGCGGATTGCTTGAGGGCGAGGCAACAGTGATGAGAGGTTCAGCCTCGGCCGACGTCAGGCCAGGAGGAGCAGCTGCAACTTCTGCTCTAAGTTTAAGGAGTTCTTCTGTACACAATACAGCAGCTATCGGGTTGGAGTTTATGTGCTGTTTAAACCTAAAATAAACAAAAAAAGGCTTACAACAAATCCTGAAGCTTGCCATGTTGTTTTCAGATAATAAAAATAGTATTATTACAGGCTAGTTATAATCCCTTTTCCTCTGATGACTTACATAAAGTTACATTATATTATTCACTAAAGCATCGCCTATAATTTCAGTTATATACAGTACCGGTCAAAGGGACTGCGGCATTACATGCGCATGAAGTGCATGTACTACACGCACATTACATGCAGTGTCCACGCACCTTACGCGCAAATGCACGAAAATTCGTAATTGCACGCACATAATTTCACACAGTAGACGTGATATTGTGTGTAAAATTACACGCAGTCGTTCAACTGGAACTCATCAAGTGTGTGTAATGAGAACAAAATGTTAAAAGTGCGTGTAATGAAAACAAAACATTTAGAGTGGAACATTTACCGTACTGGACTGCACTGCGATACGGTTTAGTCTTTTGCCTTCTTACTTCTGGTCATGAAACGTTTCCAATAGAATAGACCAGTTTCCTTTAACTAGCTTACCGCTTTACAGTAAAAGTATTTTTTGCGTTGTACATGTAGTTTCAACAAGCGGCACCAGCGACTTACAGGCGTACTAGGATTCACTGAGATAACAGAACATAAACACAATTTCGGTTTCAATTTTAAATTACAGCAATCAGTGTACTTTAGAACAATTCAAAGATTCATTAAAAATATTTCGTACTCCAAAGCGTTCGGAGTTTAGCGGTGTTCAAAAGCTTTTCCCGTCGTGTTTTTTCTTTTTGTGATAAACAACAAGGGCGCCAGAAACTGACGAACTGAGGCTTGACGGATGCGAAATAATGAAAACGAAACATTTACCGTGTAACATTTACCGTATTGGACTGCACTGCGATACAGTTTAGTCTTTCGCCTTCTTACTTCTTGGTCATCAAACGTTTCCATTAGAATAGAGCAGTTTCCTTAAACTGGCTTACCGCTTTACAGTAAAAGTATTTTTTGTGTTGTACCTGTAGTTTCAACAAGTGTCGTCAGCGACTGACAGGCATGCTAGGATTCACTGAGATAACAGAACATAAACACATAATTTCAGTTTCAATTTTAAATTACAGCAATCAGTGTACTTTAAAACAATTCGAAGATTCATTAAAAATATTCGTTCTCCAAAGCGTTCGGAGTTTACCGGTATTCAAAAGCTTTTCCTGTCATGTTTTTTTCTTTTCGTGAGAAACAACAAGGGTGCCAGCGACTGAGGAAGTGAGGCTTGACGGACACGAAATAACAGCAAAACACATTATTTCGCTTGAGATTTTCAATTAATTTTTAAACATCAGTTATCTTCTTTAAGTTTAAAAAGCCTTTGAAGATTCGTCATTAATATTACGTACTTAGAAGTGAATGTTGTCTATGTGAAAGCATATTGTTTTGATCTGATTGAAATGAAATTTTATCTGTTTCTTGAACATCGTTGCCTAGCACGTGACCAAACTCTTCCCAAATCTACGATCTGTCAACGCGACTCAACCCAGGGATAAAAATCTGATGAATCGAAAATTAAAAAACGCTTAGATTTTGTTAAAAAAAGTTTCGATTCTTCACCGTTTAAGCAGAAGTGTGGCCAATAAGCAGATTAAGAGAGAGTCTGCGAGTTTCTGTTTGAATCCCTATTTCATTGTTATCGAAGGAAGAGGGGTTGAAATGACATTTCGTGCGTGGGTAAACATTACGTTGCGACACACGTCGTAAACGAAAACTCATAGATCTTGAAGAATCAAGTTTAGATGTTAAGCAGAAGTGCGGACTGCTACAGACTAAAAAATAGTATTTGTTTGATAGGTGCTCGAGCTAGTCCACAAATTTAGCAATGCTTGTTGGCTTTTAAATTTACTTTTTGTAGTGAACATTGAAAGTCGCGGGTTTCGAATACAAGTTAGTGGTGGCTTTTTGTTATGCAAAATACATGCAACTGCATGTATGAATAACAAAGGTTTCTTCCTCCGATTAAAATACACACATTTGCATAAAATTACACGCAAATACATGTAACTAACAGATCAGTAAATTTTACATTCGTGTAATTACACGCACTGTCCGCACACTGCCCATGCACTGTCCAAAAAGACTACACGCAGACTACATGCATTTTACGCGCGTGTAGGTGCTGTAATCCCTTCGACCGGTACTGTAGATATACAATAATGCACAGTAAATCATGGGTTTTATTAAGGGCCATGCACCAGGCAAACTGGCTGGCTGTGAGGATGATTTTGCCTGCTTGGTTTGACTAGGGAAAAGTATTTCTTAGAAAGAGGTTCACTGTGAAAACAAGCTCCCCTCCTGCTGAAAATGTTAATGAAAACTCCTGATAAATAAAGTTAAGTCAAGTATGGTAGCTAAAGAAAATTCAAATTTTTCACCTAGATGATGTATGTCTGCTGGAAATTAAACAATAATCTTACTTTTCAAAATGCTGGCTGTAATTCTGAGTAGGAACCTTAAAGACTCTGTCATACAAAGCTGTTACTCTCTGTAGCTGACCCTGGCTTTTCTCCCATTCAATGTATGCATCCCACAGTTTGTCAGCACGGAACTCTTCGCCAGCAGTAGACACTGCTCTCTCAAATAAACTACAAGATAATAAACACGGAAAACAAAAAGAGAGACCTTAGAAAGAAAGTTACAGGTAAGAGACTGGAGTCAGTGGACTTGAGATGTAAAAATTTTAAATCAGGACTGAATGGAGTGAAGCATTAAAATACCTTTGCCATCAGTAAGTACATTGTTGCACCCCATACCAAATGACCTGGAAGAGGCCAGCATGGGTTGTGATGCCCACTCACTACTCAACTCAACACCAGCCTAACTGTTACTAACAAGAAATACATGGCACAACAAATTATGGGAGTTAGATGAACTGCCAAAAATAAAAAAATTCAGAAAAAATTCAAACACAGAACTCTCAAAGTTTGAATATAATATTTCAAAACACACTCATCAACAGTGAATTATCCCTTGGTGTGCACTCTCTAGCCCAATGACACCATTTATAATCTCTTCAAGTCTTGGCTGAACAGTTGCCCTAGAGAGTAGATAGTCAGTGTCAGTATAGCATTCAACACTGCAGACTTAAGTTACCTTCGCATGACTTCTGGGCCATCAATCTGACCCTTGGTACTTTGAGAAGAAAAGTTGAGATAATGTACCCACAAATCCACACTAAGAGGAATGGCAGCAATAGCTCCCTCAAAAACCTAAAAAGAAAAACCACAGGATACGAGTATCTGTGAAAACCAATGGCTTTTAGAAGTTTCAAAGTTCTGATCAGCTTGTGGTCAACAAGATCAGCCCTGGATTTTTATTACATTAGTAGCAGGACATGTGTCCCTTTAAATCTCTACTTGATGTATTACCAACTTGGTTCCAAGATGTTGATTACACACAGTGCATACCTGAATAATTTAATGACTTAATCCATACCAAGCATGAAGTTATAAGTATGCTTAGGAATGCATTATAGGTGATTTCAAAGAAAATAAAAAACAAACAAACCATGGACCTGCATGATTTGCGATTTCTAACAAATGATTTCAAAGCAAACTTGGTCTCCAAACAACATCAGGACTCAAAGCTACTTAAGGCCCGGGTCGCACACGAGAAGTTTCTGTGAGGTTTTGTTTACATAAGGGTCAAAATCTGTCAACATGCGACATGTTCATTTGTAATCTCGACTTTTGCATGATAGCAGAAATTTTCAAATTTCTGAAAGGATCAAAAGACGCTGTAGAGTATGGGTGGAGCTGGTAGATTTGTCAACATTTCACTTAAACAAAGGAAACCGTTACCCAAAATGTCATCAATTGTCATTCACGGCGATAAAAAAAAACTTTCTCGGGTGGTAAACAATCTCGGAAACAAGAATTTTCTCTTACAATCCTCCCATTGAGAGTATTACGGATGAGATCAAAAGTGTTCTTGTAGACTCGTAACTGCTGCCGAAAGTATTCTTGTAGCACAGTAGGGTTGTTATAGTGTATCTCAAACCAGGATTCAGCTGGGCTGGGAGTGCTCCATGCATAGGGTGCTGTGCGTTGTTGCCGTAATCATGGATTCTGTCCCCGTATCATAGTGATATTTAGCATTGCCTGATAACTAAAATTTATCCATCTCATGTACAAGATGAAAAATGCAACCATTTGCTGCTGTTGGATGCTGATACTCTAAAGCAGAAATATTACTAAAGCGATACAGAAGGCTTGACTTCAATTCACGTTTAAATTAAAAGTACACTGGTTCGCAGGTAAGTGATGCGGCAAATATTGATCTTTAGGTGACAGATGCCACATGTAATGCAGCCTTGACTGTTCTTGATAAATTTTTAGATTTCCGGTTGCAGTTGCAAAATTTTTTGCACTAAAGACAAAGTAGAAAATTTATCAGGACTCATATGCGACCTGGGCCTAAGCCATTTTCATGCCCAATGATCTTGTCTGATTATAATACAGTCAAACCTTTCTAATACAGACACCAAAGGGACAGTCTGAGCAAAGTGTCAGTATTGGAGAGGTCACTATGATGACGTTGCTTTTAAGTCTCCATTGACAGTTTAGATAGTTTAGTAACCAAAATCAGGCCCAAAAGTGAGTGTCTTGTGAATTTCTGAATCTAAATTGATTAACTTTATTGTACTTCTTAGTTACATGCTATACATACACATTTTGGAACAAAATGCCTGTTATCGACATCTGGTCCTGAGAGTGTCCATAATAAAGATGCTAAGTTTGTACAAATTTGCTCCCTAGGGCCGAGATTTAGTGTCCGTTATCCATTTTAGAGAGGGACCGTATTACAGAGTTTTATTTTAGAGGAAATGTATGATAATTTTGTCGGTACATAGGAAACTGTCTGTATTTGAGAGGCGTCCATATAAGAGAGGTGTCCATATTGAGAGGTTCAACTGTTCAAAATTAGTCTGAAAACTCAAACTTGGTGTGAACTTGTCTGATGACTGACTATTCTTTCCAGCTGAAGAAGGTTACAACATCAGCATTGGCACTGTTTGCATTTAATTGCATGTAATTTAAATATAACCTTTGCCATTAAAATATATTTTACTTCAGTAGTGTGAAGAGTAATTAAGAGTCTGTTAAAGCAGGATGGATAACTGTATCTACTGGGTAAATCATGAATAATCCAGCAAAAACATACATGTAGCCTAGTTGTTTTGTTCACAATTATCCACTGGATACTGATTATATTGTTGAAAGATTTTTTTACACAGACACGCTTTCAATGTGTACCTGTTAGAATAAAATTCATATATAAATGGCTCAAACTCGGTTGTTTGTACTGCTGCTTATGTCTTCAGTTTTGGAGCACTCATTTTGTAAGTCACAATAGAAACACAATTACTGTGTTTCTATTATTCCACTGTACTGGCCTGGAATGAACAATTTACGCAAATCATACAGACCAATAAAAATCTAAATGGTTTGGCATACCTCTTTGGCTTTCTCAATGTTGCCATTCTTTCTCTCCAAATCTGCATATTTTTTCCAGTACCCATAACAGTATGGGTAACGTTTAAAAAATGCATCAAATGCTTGTCTTGCAGACGAAAGCTTGTTCTACACAAAAGGCAAATAAAACACCGAGTTAGCCCAAACTAGTTCACCATTTTCTGAAAGCAAAGTGCAGGCTGATAAAACAACAAGACATAACCTCAAACTGTGGTTTCTACAAACGCTGACTTGCACGGTTTTATCCAAGTAAAGGGCTAAAATTATCCTAAACAAAGAGAATGATCTGTCAGAAATGTGCCTCTGGAATATCATGGGTAAACTTTAATGAAGGCATTCACAACACATTCGAACTTAATAAAATTACGCGACTTTCAGGTATGAGAACATTGGAAAGTTTTATTGTTCACAAACCTCTTGCTCGACAAACTGCAGAAGATATGTCCAGCTGGTAAAATCCGCTGGATTTTCCTTCACTGCCTTCCAATACTTGAGCTCTTGTTCATTGACCACTTCTTCGACAACAGGGGCGTCAGTGGAATCCTCATGACTCTCTGTAATTGCTCCATTCTCCTTCGTTTCCGTCATGTTTGTATCCACGTTACCAACTGTTAAGTTATCACTGCTTTCTTTAGCCCCTGTAATTCATTTCAATTTAAAAGACGAATTAGTAGAGTCCGAACTCATGGCAAAAGCATATGCGACATTTGCTCAATATTGTCAATGATTTTGAGCTAATTAATTTACGATGTATTTTAACCAAAACAAAGTACTTTGAAAAACGCAAATATCACGACCGTTACCGGTAGGATGGGAAGGATTCTCGCTAGATTCTGCAGCAGCTGCTACTACGTTCAGAGCCGCCGCCATCTTTGCCTTCAATGACTGGGCGTGCGAGAGACAGGGAGCTGGTTACTAATCGTCAAACGAAGCTGGAGCGAACTGTTCCGAAGATTGTCCGGGAACATCCGAACCAGAAGCGGGCACATTCTCCAAATAGTTTGCATACCGACGTCTCCACGAGTGAGCACGATTGACAGTTATGAACTTTAAATGCATTTTCTCTGTCAGAGAATGAATCGAGGTGAAGTGTATGAAAATTTCCTTTATGTTGCAGCTCTGGCCGCCGGATGTTGCATATCAGTTCCGCTTAAAATCAACGAATCTAACTTAAAAGGTCATTGTTTACTTTTTGGCGAGCTTGATGTTCTAACGAACACTGTGTTAGCTGGTAATCACGGGTACTGCACCTTCACGTTTTACTCGTCTTTGACAAATGCTGCTTTAGCAGCTTTGTTGGGATTTTTTAAATGGTGCTGTAGTGTAGACACCGATAGTCCAAGGTAAGCTGTTAATTGAATAAGCTCAATTAATGATTATCATTGATCGTGTAAGTGTTAGTGTACTGTACACTGCGGGCATGCACTTATGCACGCATTGGAATTCCTCATTTCTTATCAATGAAAGAAACATGCATTTTCCAATAAAAATCAGCATCTAAATTATGCGTCACATTTTGACACAAAAAATGGCTCTACATCAAACTGTACTGTAATGAGCAACAAGACGAGAATCAGTCCCTGGTAACAATCGTCTCCTCGGCCTCCGCAGCCGTTTTTGGGGATGTCACGCAACGCTCCCCCAAAAAACGGGTGGGGAGGAGACTACTGGTAACAATGGAGCACAGAAATATCTCCTGGGAATGTATTATTTATCATATGGCTAGCTCCGTGAGGGGGCAAGATGAACCAAATCCTGCACTGTGATTGGCTATAGCTACCTGAGCAGGCAAGATGGAGCTATTCTGCCCTCTTGGGACTAATTGCTGTGACCCGCAAGAAAAATTTTCCCAAAAGCCATATGAGAAATCTTTTATTGACCAAACTTGTTCAGTCAGGACTGCTGGATATTGGCCTCGTTCTTTTTTGTCTTGGTCCATAAACACACAAAAAAAATAACTTGGCCAATATCCAGTCATCTGACCTCATGCTTGGTCAATAACCCTTATTTATAATCCATGTCTCTCTTCCTCAGAGCTCACAGTTTTCCTCAGGCTGAGCTCTTTGAAAGCTGTTCGCTTCTCAGGAGAGAAAATATCTGCAGACAAATATTTGAGCATATTTTTGTGCCAAATAGAGGATAATTTGTTTATTTAATTACCCATCAGTTTACTCTTAGACCCATACCCCCTACTCTGAACTATGCTAAGAGCTTGCGTTTAAAGACCAGTTGAGCAAAACCTGCAAAAATTCCATATGGAGAAGCTCAGCTGGAATTTCTAGATGGATGGGAAGGGAAGGGTCGGGGAGTGTGGCAGTTGCAAAGGTCAGATGTCTTCACATCCTAAGCCACATTCACAAGCCAGAGGTTTTAGAGATGCAGTTTAAAACCCTTGAACTTTTGGAGGTCTATAGGGTTGTTCAGGAAGGTTATACAAAATTTTCTGCAACAACACAATGTTCATAAGTTCTTCTACCTCAATCTAGAGTGGTGTACTTCAAATTTACTACTTGCATTCTGTCAGCCATTGCATGGATCAACTGTTTGGTGTGTACCATCTTCATTGTGATTGGCTTTACAGAGTGGTGCAGCTCAGTAACTAACAATGGGAATGTAGAGAGGTGTGTGCAGCATCAATTTAGTAATTGGCTGTTATTATATTATTTTCGTATTTATTGGAATGTACGAAATATACTGTTGTTATTCATGTTATAATGACCATTACTGGTACCATTGCTGACAATTCTTGTTTCTTGTTTTATTTTAATTTGCCATTATAAATATAAAAACAACACATCAATGTATATATTTAAAGGCAAAGATTAGTCCAGAGAAGCCAGTCAGGCTTAATTAATATGTAAAGGAGTAGGACGATAGATTAATTACTTTACGGTAATTGTAATAATCATTGTCAGTAGTAAATAGTATACCAATTTTCTGCAATGATTCAATGATTAGCTTCTTCCATAATCATTTCAAAATGCATAATTGCCCTTTAGATACCATTATAATTGTAGAAAAGGTGGAGGGACACCCCCCCACCCCTCCCCAAGATAATGGGGAGATAAAAATTTAAGTCTGCATAGAAGCCAAGTGGCCCATAAGGCCAGTGGAGATCTCTAGTTTCTGCAGCATGAAGCAACTAGGAGTATTTCTACTCATCCCTGGATAGAATGATAGTTCATTGCAGAGTTACCCATCATCCCCCCTCCCACCCCAAATTAAGTTCACCAATATCCAGTTATACAACTTAAGTGTCTTGTACACATTAGAACACAACACAATGTCTCCGGCCAGGGCTCAGACTTGGACCGCTCAATCAGGCATCAAACACACTAACCATGAGGTCGTTGTGCCTCCGACAAGATACTGGGGAGAAGTGTTAAGTTTTGACAGTTGCTTGCCTGGTTCCAAGGCCTCACTATTTCACCGCAGTCATTGTTTTCGGGTCTCTTGGTCCAGGGCAAAAAGCATGCTTCCGGCCATTCACCTTGGATACACCACCGAAATCAATTGTCCTTGAAGGCCTGGAAGAAAGCCGTACAGAAACTAGGCAAGTCAATTAGCAAATCGTAACCTGAGGTCTTTCAATGGACTAACATCTCATCTAGGGAGGAATACAGAGCATCTTCTTCATTTCATCCCATGGAAACCAGAGGTGTGCTAGTAGCTGGGTCTGCCAATCTGGGCAACAGACTTGACCTTTTACAGTGTGATTTACTTTTAATTTTGATGTACATGTATAGTGCATTTTATTCTCAGCTGCCAAAATGCAGAAAAGTGGGATTGGACTCAATACACACCAGCTGACATTGATGGAAGCAAGTTTTACACTTATCTCTTCATGGCAGAGGTGAGAGATTACAATGCATCTGAAAACACTATTAGATAAGAACTCCCAAGTCACATTCCTATTTACTCAGTCTCAAAGAGTATATCAGATGGAAGTGAGACTGCAGACCACAAATAAGGCAATATTCCATCGAAGGTACTTCATTCTCTACAAAGCAGATGTTATGCAACAGAATTGATCACTCTTCTGGTCATTTCAATGAGACAGATTTAGTCTTTGATGAATCAGCTACTAGTTAGGTTAAAGGCTGGTTTTCACTAACGACAGAGTCGTAGTTGGAGTCATAATCAGAGACGTAGAGCAAATCTATCTGGTGAAAATCAAACTGATGAAGCTGGAGGCAGAACACCGATTCTGCTTATCACTATGTCGCTTATGATCTGGTAAAAACTAGATTGTCAGAGTCAGAAGTAGAAGCAGAAGAATAAACCAATCACAAATTATGCTTGATTCCAGGCCTTGTGATCTGTTAATTGGTTCTTCTGCTTCTGACTCCAATAATCTATAGTTTTCACTGGATCATAGGCGACAGAGTCGCACACAGAATTGGAAGAAATGGGAAACGTTCTTATTCTTCCAACCCCAATTCCATTGAACTTATGACTCCCCTTATGACTCCTATTTTTGATCCTCACTAGGTCATAAGCGCTCTTACGTCTCTGACTACGACTCTGACTCTGACTCCACCACTAGTGAAAACCAGCCTTAAAACAAAATTGACCCACTTGCAATGATAATTGTTTCTTACATGTTCAGGTGCCCTTTTCCCCTAGGTTGCCTCATTTTGTGTTGTAGTGATTTGGTTTATCATAGTCATTCTCTCAGGAAGAAATTTTAAGCAACGTCTATTGCAAGCAAGAGCAGCACAATACTATATCACAGATGGCAGAATGGTATACCCAGTACCAATACAAGAAATCCCTGTTTATGAAATCAAGAGTGAGCAGGGATCAAGATACCTGTGATTACTTTAAAATTAATATTAACTTAAATTTTGATAGTAATAGATCGTATAGTGTAATAGTAATAGATCGTATCTTTTTGTCTTAACAAAAAGTTCCCTGATGTTCCTTGGAAGAAAACACTTAATTCTTCGTAATAAACCCAATCTTTTGATTTTTAGTAGATTTTTAATCTACTATTTCTTTAGCTTTTGCAATTTTATTTTTGCAGGGCCCCACTGAAAACCACATGTATGTGAAGTGGGCTCCCTGTTGAAAGATCTTTATTATTATTATTATTATTATTATTATTATTATTATTATTATTATTATTACTATATAGTGTGATTGTCTGGGTGAGCGTAGTTCTGACAAGACCTGTTGTTGGCGACTGATGTTTCGACAACCTGAACAGAAGCCATCTTCAGAGTCAAGTGAATAGTGTTTGTCAGTCGATGTTATAAAACTGGTCCATTGAACGTGATTGGTCAGTTTAGCCATGATGGCATTGGCTGAAAGACTCGTGTAAAGTTTGTCACGAGCTGTTGGTCGGTTTCGATCCATCTATTGTTAGTCAAATTGGTCCGAATTTTGGTCCGTCTATTGTAAGTTATTGATATCCGTCTATTGTTAGTCAAATTGACTAACAATAGACGGATCGAAACTGACCAATGACTGATGACAAACTTTACACGAGTCTTTCAGCCAATACCATCATGGCCAAACTGACCAATCACATTCAACGGACCAGTTTCATAACATCATCGACTGACAAACACTATTCACTTGACTCTGAAGATGACTTCTGCTCAGGTTGTCAAAATGTCATTTACCAACAACAGTTCCTTTCAGAACTACCCTCACCTGGACAATCACACTATACGAACTACTGATACTCCTCGGTTCAAACCATTTACTATATTGATAATAACACTATTATCAGCAAGGTGAAGAAAGCTGGCACAAGTGGCAAGAAGCTTTATTGTCCTCAGTAATGATCTCACAAGAGACTGCAAGCTGGGACTTGCCCCAGATTTCTTCTTGTTTCTAAAGTGGCGAATAATATTACCATTTTGAACAAAGTTCAGTATTAATGCTATTTAATAGTTATTGTTGTATTAATTTTGTATTTGTGTTAACTACATGTATAAAGTACAAAAAAATAACCACACAAAATTACATCAGCAAGAAAATATTGTTGATATATTATCATAATACTACTTTCCATTAAATATTATATTTTATTTATTAAATTTAATAAAATAATCTTATCTCAAGCAAACACCCCATGCAATTGGCCCCGTATAATATTTCAAACTATATTCAAACCCTCCCAAAGTGCTTGCTAATACAGGTTTGACTTTTGGCTGTTACCATCAGGGGGTTCATCAATTTCAGCAGGAAAGCAGCTAGTTTTCACAGGCAAGTAAAGATTTTGAACTGAACTTCTTTATAAGAACAACTTTCCACAGATTGTCAAACCAGACTGACAAGATCGTGCTTACAGCAGGTCAATTTGCATGGTGCCTGGCCCTTACTGAAACTCCTGGTTACCATGATGCATTTAAAACAGAAATTTTATAACTTTTAAAAGAGATAAATACTATTACCTTGACAATAATTTTGCATCTAATCATGTTGAGGTCAAAATTTGTTTTTAGCTTTGAATGAAAGATTTTGACTGGCTTTTTTCCCTGTCTGATGTTTTCGCGATCAGAATCAAAGGAAGACAAAAATCAATGACAAGTGCTATGAAAAACCTTCTTAAAACTACATGTACATCATAGTCTTGTTATACACGTTAAGTCTGTAGATCACGTAAATGTGATTCTCTTGTTAAATAATAAAACGTACATCATTAGGCAACGATTACATAATGCTTTTTGGACAATTATCCTATTATCTACAGTTATTTTTGATTAAATGCCAATGGCACTTACATTTGATCAACGTTCTTGACAGTCATATGTTTACTTAACATTATACCTAATGCAAAATAATGAGAACTTCTTAGCAGTGTAACATTTATTCATCATCATCATCTTTATTGTCCTCTACATCATCAGCATCACCAACATCATTCAGTGTCCTCTTACTGGGTACCTTAAGGTACCAGCCATAGAACTTTTTTCACCGCATGCCAATGTGCCCAAGATTAATGATTTATAATCAAAAATAACCTTGACTTGCCTTGTACTTCACAAACAATTATGTTTTATGTTCTAAACAGTTTTCCTACATGTGTAAGGCATGTTGTCATGAAGATGAGCTTCCTTGTAATCCAAAGAATAATCGTGTAGCATGGATCATGCACAAAATAAACAGCAGGGCAAAGGCAAACCAACTACACCACTAATAAAGATAAACCCAAAACAATGATTAGTAAAGCCGAAAAAATCAATTGATGGGGAAAGGTGCCGGCACATATGCTCAATGGATGACAGCAGTAGCATCTAATCCTGGGGAAATACTATTACTGGGGTGTGTTTAAATCACAAAATGGCGAAATGATGAAATGGCACTATGGTTAGCCTAAATAGCGCTCAGGTTAATGGTTTGAAGTAATCCAACTTAAAGCAGAAAGAAATCAGATCTTTAATTTCTACCAACCATAGTTAATAGAGGGCACTGGTTATGAAGCCCAGCAAACATCAAAGTAGCAAACAAAGATGCCAAGATTTATGTTGGAAGGTCCATGACCGTACACAATCTTTTGTTTTGCGTTCATACACTATGCATGGATTACGTAACCAACATGTTTCTATTGGTTAGTTCCTCAGTATGGAGTAGTTAAACAACTATTTTGTTTTGTGCATGGTCAAGGCCAAAAAAGCACACAAAAACATACAACAACTTTGTCGGGTTTCATAACCAATCCCCTCTATTAACTATTTACCAACTTTCTAGTACAATCACACAATCTCATCACACATGCATAATCATCCAACCTTGGAAATTCGAAAAAGTGGTTGTAAGTAGAGCTGGTCGCTTACAAGAATGAGCTCTCATAAGTGACAGCATGGTAAAACAATAGTGAGTGGTTGCTTATGAGAGCTTCAGAAACTTATTAATAATTCATAAAGAAATGTTTAATGTTTAATGAGTGTCTTTATGTCTGATATAGACATGGCTAAATTAAACATTCAACTTCTTAGACCAAAATAACCCCAAATCTAAATACTAGACAAAGTGCAATAATGAGTTGATCTACATCACAAGATTTTCTGAGTTGTCACTTACAAGAGCTAAGTGACAATAAAGTACCCATGAACTGAAAAATACAGAGGAATAGCATTTTCCTTTTTGGAATATCTGTTTTCATTTTAGAGATATTGACGTTTTTGTATTATGCAAATTAGGAATCAAAGTGATGATGTCATCAGTTGTGCAGCTAAAACAGTAAAATATTTAAATAAAGAATATCTCTAGAAATATTGGAGCAGTGTTCTTCAAACTTGGCACCAGAAATGTACATCACAAAAGAAATAAAATGGAACCAAAAAGGAGGTCTCGGAACTTTTTCCGCTAGCTAAATATGCTGACCTTCTTTTCTGAAACATTAAGCCCAATTTGAAAGGAAGTCAGATGAGCCTCACGGTGGAGCAAATTGTCCAGTACAAAACAAAAACATTAATGTTGCTTGGCAATTCTAAATGTGGAAATTCAGACTGCCGGTATTGTATCAAATTCCCTTCAGTTTGTTATGTATCGAATCCATCGGAAACCAAAACAACTGTTTCTTTTATAAGTTTCTGATTTTACTAGGCTGGCAATGGAGGTCATAGAGTACATACGAGGTTTCAAAATAACTATTTTTGAAATGATAACAGTTTCATTACACGTGAGAATTGTAAATGTTTTTGTTTTTACTGCAATTTGAGTGCCTTTGAACAACACTCACGCTTTCAGGCATTGTGTTATTTTTTTCAGGCAATAAGGTCACCACTACCCGCCCCCCCCCCCTCCCCCCCCAAGTCCGAAGGTGCCCATATGCCTATGCTTCCCTATTCTGAAAAGCCTTTCAAATAAATACCAATTATTTTTCAGTTCATAGACACTTTAAAAACAAAGGTAAAGTCCAGTTGGGTAATTCCAAAAGTGGTTGTGGTCGCTTACAGGAACAGTTGCTTACAAGAGCTTTTCATTACAAAGACAGTTCAAATGGAGTTTCACAAAAGTGGTCGTAGCTAGAGCTGGTTGCTTACAAGAGTGGTTGCAAAGAGAGCTTCAGCTGTATCTCTTTTATTTACCTGTGCTGATTGTAGTAGAAGATAGGCATTACCACAGTCACTGTATTTTGGAGTGAAATTCCTCCAGTCCATTGCCTTAAAATGACCATGATTACATCTACAACCACAACAAGAACAACTGACAAATTAAAACTCGCCCCAGGGGAAACAAGTTTATTTTCCAGAGAATTGTAGTGTTTACTCTGATGAGGAGAACATTATGGTTTCAAGGAATTCAAATTAAAGTAGAAAAAAAAAAACAGTTCTTTAATTTCTCCCAACTTTCTTGTACTATCACACAGTCTTATCACACATGCCTTTGTGTTTGATCATGTGTCTAGGCTCAGCCTTGAGCTATCATCCAAATGAACTTATTTAATAAGGCTGGTATGCTCCACATGCAGGAATTAGAGGTAAGAGACATCCAGTGGCATGCACAGTACAACAATAGATCACTTAAGCATGTGTTACTGTATACCATTACCAGTGGTAACATACAGTGGTTTCAATAACATTTTCAGCAGGAGGGTAACTGGTTTTCACAGGTTGGCAAAATGTTTTGAACTGACGTTTGTTATAAGAGAAACTTTCCTCTACATGCTCAAACAAGGCGAGCAAAATCATCCTCAAAGTTGGTCAATTTGCCCGGTGCCCAGCCCTCAATAAAACCCTTGAACAATAGAATGATGTAACTCTGTAAAAATACCTGTTTATGACAAAAGAGTCGCAAAATGTAAGAAATCCAGAGGAAATTATCCCAGATGCAAGAAATACCAGAAATGCAGAAAGTGACACCAGACTGAGAGCCTGGATGCAACTGAAATGTGACCTAGAGATAAAAAACAGACACCACAAATAAACCCATGAAAAAGCTAAAGCCACTTAAATACATATAGATGGAACTAAAATGATGGCAAGCTGTCATGTAAAATTCTGACAACAGATATACACAGCATCGAAACATGCCGGAAAAGATGAAATGACAACAAAGGACATTTCTTGCTGTATTTAAATTTCCACAGTGATGTGAGAACCTTGAAAAACCATGAAATCCTGGGTGGCCTGTTCTTAAGCTTAACTGAAAAAAGTAAGTTTCTCCAGTTGCCCAAACACAAAAGTGACACCTAAGCGGTTCTAGACCACAGCCTTGAGGAACACCGATGTAATTAGCCTGTCATTGCAAACTTTCGGTATCCAACTTACCAGTAGGAAGCACTGAGTTAGCAAGAATTGCTTAAAGGTGACCTTCATGGGCATGTAGGTCATTCTATCACGTGTTAAGGTTATGGAATATTGATCATCAGTAATAGGTCATATTGGTATTNTCACGCTCGATTGCGCCAATTTCACTACTCGAGGACTATTACTAAAAGTCCTCTACTAGCGTAGCCAATTAAAATGCAGGATTTGCATTAGTCTACTAGTTGGGTGATACTAAGTATAATTAGACTGGAACTAGCTTGCAACTGAGGCTAATGCAGGGAATCTTTTCAAATGCAAACAACATTTATCTTGTTTTAATGACATTCCCCCGCAAAAGCTTCCATTGCAAGCTAGTTCCAGTCAAATACCAAGAATACAAATGGCCTATTAGGGTACATCATCTAGAACATTTCCAAAAATCATAGAATAATGGCACTCGCCAGATTGAGATGCACTTAATACCACAGTGAAGAGGTATATCAAGATAAATAAAGCCTTTGGGAACTACATTCTTGGTTGGAATAAAATAAAACAAAAAATAAATCCACCCCTCCTATCCCCCAAATCAGTCATGATTTTGTGCTACAACCAACACACCATTTTCCATCAGTGAAATAATTAATATGGGGGATCGGGAGACGGGGACGTCAGGGTAGACCTCAATTTTAACTGGCCAAGATTGTATTTCTTCACTGTAGACTCGTTATCCACTACTCTGAGATTTTCTACGCTGCGTGCAGTAAAACAATTTCATTTTATGATTTTTCCTCCCAAGTATACGTACAAACGTCTGTTTTCTAGACAATGACACAAATTAAACTAGCCGAGGCATTGGAACAAATCACGGGCAAATCAGAATTAAGTGTCACCCAACGTCAAAATTTCGGAACTTGTGTACTTAAGGCATCTGACGACCGAGTATCGACCGAAATCGACCGACAAATGCCTTCAGCACACAAGGTCCAAAACGTCTTGAAATCCGAACAATCAAAGTAGCGCCTTGCGGTGATTTTTGTGACGAACACGACCAGATATAGTATATATACTAACCTAGTTCTTCCCCCGCTTATAAACCTGAGTAGAAGCAACGAACTTGAAACAGCAATAAAGTTCAAAAACAACGGCAAAAAGCACCAAGTTGTGTCAGATCCTTGCAGAATCCGTGCTCTTTCGAACAACTTAGCGAAAAGGAGACATTGACCGGCACAGATAGTCTTGACACTGTTTAGACACAAAGATGACCCGATCTCCAAAACTATTGCAACAATCAAGAGAATAATCTCACTAATACGGAAATGATATGTATGGCTCGAGAAACCTGCGATGTTCAAAACCATTTTGCGAATCCAAGAGTCGTGTTTTTTGCCATACATTTTTTTCATCGCCTCGGCCTGGTAACTTAGCTCAGGTGCTCCACGAAACAAATTGGTGTGTTCGTCATGTATGGGATATGTAGTGTCCCAAAAGTATCAAAGAAAGTATAAACGAGAGGGAGAACTGGATTCTACTTATTGTCAGACGCGAGGCGCGTTTTTCGAAGTCAACGTTGTCTGGCTTGTTGCGATTTTCATAGTGAAATGAACGTTTAAAAATGGGGTAAATCTTCAGTTTTTCGTGCTCAGATATCGACATTGCCTCTGCAGAATATTGAGAAAATGCCTCCTGTAAAGAAAAAGAAAAAAACCAAGGCTAAACACGTTGAGGAACAAGGTGAGTTTCGTCGCCATATTTTATTTGCTTTCGTCGACAAGTAACTTTAGCGTACGTTAGGCATTCAATTGACATTATACCAGCCTTGAGTTGTATTTTCAGCAAATTCGTTGTTTCCAGCTTTTTGTAACGCAAAAAACAACTTCATTCATATTTTGTAAGTCATTGACAGCAGAGAGTGCGGGATTCCACACTTCCACTGTAGTTTTAATTAAGGGCCTGTTTACAAGGGAGTTATCCTAGCAAGCTGGTTACCCTAGCAAGCGGGTTGCCGGCCCTAGCACTCACACATTTCCACTTTTTTGTGGGTCGTGTTTACAAGGCAGCCAGGGTTACCCGGGTAGGCGGGTTACCCTATCTGCATGCTAGGGCTACCCTTGCAGAGAGGTAAACTGAACCCTTGTAAACACTCCAAGTACGGTTAACCCGCCTACCCGGGGTTAACTTTCTACTTGTTTCCAGACCCTTTGAGTGTCACCGGGCATTAAGTTGCCCTGGGCTGTAGGGTTACCTTACCAGTGTGAAATTTTGCTTGTAAACTCAGGCTATCTTTTGCCCTGCAGCTAGGGTTAACCCGCTTGCTAGGGTAACCCTCCCTCCTTGTAAACAGTCCCTAAGCTATAGATGGTTTTCACGTGACGTCGTCACTTCTTAAAACCCAAAACTAAAGAGCCAACAAAGTTTTTATCCTCCTCAGGCATAAGAGACAGTATATTTATATCTGTTTACAATTTTACAGCTCAATAACGTGCTTTGTTTGGAATCCAGAGCATTTTGAATTTCAGGGT